TCATGAATCAGAGGGACTGTGGTTGAATGCAGGTGATGAGGACGTCGTGTTCAGATCTGCAGTAATGAATGGCATTGTTCGACCGGACACGAGGAGAACAATGTTCATCACAGCAGCACTGATCCGTGTGTGACACTCTAGGAATTAGGTGTGGCATTCTCTAGTGTAACCACTCTTTTTTATATATATAGAACCATATTTATCTGTAGAACCATAAATAAAAATATTGATTTTTTCCATTTGCTGGAGGTAGACATTTTTTTATTGTTTGGTTTACTCTTGAAATTCAGGATTCTGCTAATATTGTTGCTCATTGATAATAATTGCTTGTGTGTGTGTGTGTGTGTGTGTGAGAGAGAGTGTGTATGTATGTGTGTGTGTGTGTGTGTGTGTGTGTGAGAGAGAGAGGGAGAGTGAGAGTGAGAGAGAGAGAGGGAGTGTGAGAGTGTGGGTGTGAGAGAGAGAGGGAGAGTGAGAGTGAGAGAGAGAGAGGGAGTGTGAGAGTGTGGGTGTGAGAGAGAGAGGGAGAGTGAGAGTGAGAGAGAGAGAGGGAGTGTGAGAGTGTGGGTGTGAGAGAGAGAGGGAGAGTGAGAGTGAGAGAGAGAGAGGGAGTGTGAGAGTGTGGGTGTGAGAGAGAGAGGGAGAGTGAGAGTGAGAGAGAGAGAGGGAGTGTGAGAGTGTGGGTGTGAGAGAGAGAGGGAGAGTGAGAGTGAGAGAGAGAGAGGGAGTGTGAGAGTGTGGGTGTGAGAGAGAGAGGGAGAGTGAGAGTGAGAGAGAGAGAGGGAGTGTGAGAGTGTGGGTGTGAGAGAGAGAGGGAGAGTGAGAGTGAGAGAGAGAGAGGGAGTGTGAGAGTGTGGGTGTGAGAGAGAGAGGGAGAGTGAGAGTGAGAGAGAGAGAGGGAGTGTGAGAGTGTGGGTGTGAGAGAGAGAGGGAGAGTGAGAGTGAGAGAGAGAGAGGGAGTGTGAGAGTGTGGGTGTGAGAGAGAGAGGGAGAGTGAGAGTGAGAGAGAGAGAGGGAGTGTGAGAGTGTGGGTGTGAGAGAGAGAGGGAGAGTGAGAGTGAGAGAGAGAGAGGGAGTGTGAGAGTGTGGGTGTGAGAGAGAGAGGGAGAGTGAGAGTGAGAGAGAGAGAGGGAGTGTGAGAGTGTGGGTGTGAGAGAGAGAGGGAGAGTGAGAGTGAGAGAGAGAGAGGGAGTGTGAGAGTGTGGGTGTGAGAGAGAGAGGGAGAGTGAGAGTGAGAGAGAGAGAGGGAGTGTGAGAGTGTGGGTGTGAGAGAGAGAGGGAGAGTGAGAGTGAGAGAGAGAGAGGGAGTGTGAGAGTGTGGGTGTGAGAGAGAGAGGGAGAGTGAGAGTGAGAGAGAGAGAGGGAGTGTGAGAGTGT